GCTTATATAAAATTTTATACCTTTAAAAAAGGCCTTGCTAACCCTAAAATTAATATAAATTATATATTTTTTTTTATAGTAACCAAGGTTATTTTTTTTATTTATTTTTATCTTGCTCACGGCCTAATTACACCTATTAACTTTAAAAATAATTTTAAAAAAATTCTTAGTTATACCTAAGTTTATTTATAACTATTTATAACTATTTTTTTAATACCTAAAAATACCCCAGCGCATTGTTACTAAATATATTTTAATAGCTAAAACTTTTAAGTAGGTATTAATATATATTATTAAGTATTACTAGGTATATTTTTTTTTTACTAGGTTTTATTTAGGCCTTAATTTTTTATTATAATATTAATTTTTATGGTGTTTTTAACTAGGATTTTAAATTTTTTATTTACTTACCTTTAAAAGCACCTAGTTTAAACCTAGTTTATATTTTAGTATTTAATAATAGCTAACTACCTTTAGGATCCCTGTAATAATAATAAATATTTTAACTTATTTAAAAATTAAAAGTTAAGTTAACTTTATTTAGGTAGTAAATAAAGTATTAAAAAAATAAGTAAGCTAATAAACTTTTATTATAAAAACCTAAGTTTTAGCCTTTTATAATACTACTTTATTTATATAAATATTATATAATTTAATTTAAATAAAAATATAAATAAACACCCCCGGACATGTTTTTAATTTTTTTATAATATTAAAAAATAAGTTAAATAACCCAAGGTTATTTTTTAATTTTATAAAAGGGTAATAACATAATAAAAAATAAAAAAAGTAAATTATAGTAATAAATTAAAAGCCTTAAAAAACTTAATACTTAATAGCTATTTTATAAACACTTTAAAAATGCTAATTAAGCTATAATAATAAATAAAATAATATTAAAAATAATACTAAAAATAATATAAATAATACTAACCTAAAATATACTGCCTAGTAAATAAAATAATACTAAAGCTAATATTAATATTACCCAGGTATTAATAATACTAAAAGTAATACTAAAAATAATATAAATAATACTAAAGATATTACCTAGCAAATAATAATATAAATAATAATAAAAATAATAAATAGAAATAAAAATTTAACTTTAAGGTTAGGTATATAGCAGTGCACCTTGTTACTTTATAAACTTATATAATAATAGCTTACTAACTTAGCCATGCTAACGCGGTATTTTTAGGTAGTTTATAATTTAATTTTAGTATATTATACTATGCCTACTTTAGCTAGTTATTTTTACTATTAATTATACTCCTAATTAAAATAATAAGTTAATATTATAATAAAGTTTATTTTAATAAAATCTTATATACCTATTTTTTATAAAAGGTATTACTAACTTTTTTTTTATTTAAATATATATGCCTAATACTATCCTAATATTTAATAGGTTATTTTTACTTTATTTTTTAAACTAAATACCCTATAATATATAAATTTTTTTATATTTATTTTAGGTTATAATACTTGCTATTTTTACAAGGTAAATTACTATAGTTAAACTTATTTTTACTTATTAAGGTTATAAGACTACTTTATAAGATAAGTTTATATAAATAATAAATAGTTTTACCGTGTTAACTAACCTTTTTATAATATTAGCTTATTAAGGTTATAAAATTATTTTATAAGGTAAGTTTATATAAATAGCAAATAATTTTACCATGTTAATTAATATTTTTATAACCTTAGTTATTTTACTTATTATAATCTTATTAATTTTTACTAGCCTTTAAATATATACTATAATTAAAAAAAATAACCTATAAAATATATAAAAATATCCCAAGGTATTAAAAATATACCTAAATTATATAAAAAGCTAATTTTACTAAGGCTTAGCTACTTATATATTTATAAATTTATTATTACTTTTATAAATTTTTTATATATTATTTAAAAATATATAAACTTAGTATAGGGTAATATAGTAGTAATTTAATAATATATTAACTTATTTTTTATTAATATTATATAAAATACCTTTTTTAAATACAAGCTTATATTTAAAAATAGCGTTTTATAGCGCTTTAAACTTAATATATAATATATAATAATAAATAGTAATTTTAACTAATTACCTGTAGTAATAAGTCTTTATTAATAATATAGGATTTTTTTAATAATTATATTAATAGCTCCTAACTTAGTATTAATTTAATAAGCCAGAATTAACTTAAATGGCAGCGCACGGGCCCTTAATATTTTAGATTTTTATTAATATTAAATATTAATATTAATATTAGTATTAAATTAGTATTTTTTTTTATATTTATATTTATTTTAATCCTATAGCAGTGTTCTATAGCCTATATAATTAGCTTAAATAATAAATAATACTAAATTAAAACTATTAAACTAACTTATTAAGCATTATTTTTATAATATATAAATTCTAGGTAACTGCGTATTATTAATAGTAATTATACCATGTTAATATTAATTTATATTATATATAATATATAAAATTGCCTGTAATTTATATTTATAATATTTATAATATAATTTTTAAGATATATTACAACCTTAATAATATAAATAATCTTAATAATAGGTTTAATAAGCGGTAATAAATTAATTTAAATATAAACTTTATTTATAAATATATAACCTAGTAAACTTATATTTATTATTATTAAACTATATTTACCTAGTAATTTATAATAATAATTATATATATTTATTATAAATATAACATAACTACTTTACACTATGTATTTACTTTATTAATATAACTTAAAAATTAATATATATTTTTATTTTACTTTAATAAAGTATATATTATAAAGCACTTTATATAACCAAAGTTAATATGCTAGATCCAACCTGGCGCAACTATATTCCCGAACCAGCCAACGGCGGGATGGATGCATCATCACACGCCGCTCTTCCTTTCAAGGATACCCTGATTGTCCTTATATAGGGGTCTGTTCCGGGTAAACCGGTTGCCAACATCTGCTTTGACGCCGAAGTAGCTGTATGATGCCATAGATAGAAGGTTACAGCGTATTATAACACCGTACTATATCAATATTTATTGCGTAGTCGAAGCGGTGTTCCTGGTTTACCCGCCTGATGGAGCCGCCCACCTTCTCCATGCGAAGAGGGCGTCCGGTAGATGAGGGAGGGCTCCCTTAACATGGATCCGCAGTACGTAACCCTATCAGCACGCCCTGATGGCCAGAAACCACATAACATCCTGCGGAGCTGGTTGACCTTACCAGATGCTCGGGACTGTAATCTCCTCTCCTACTCCGGATCCCTGATTGGAGGTCCGCTGTCTAAATACTGAATATGAGTCTCATGTAGGAACGATTAAAGGGAGTAGGATTATGCACTGGGCATGCAGGACATGCTTATCAGCACCACACTGGTGCCGCCGTCTTACATCATGGTGCTGCTGCCTGATATGCATTCTTGTAGGATGTGCATGGAGGTTTCAAGTGATGGGAGCTGACACCTGGTTGAGGGGGGCTTCGCGAGGATGAAGGTTGTCAAACGAGGTTGTCGTACCTGAAGAGATGTCTGTCATAAGATTATTCTTTGATGATTGTAATCATAGCGCAGTATCTAGCTATCCTTTCTCAAAAGAGGCACGATGCATGCTCGGGATTGGTACAGCTGTTCGAAGCATTTATGGCTGCACTACCCAGTCTTCTCAAGTTAAGACGAGCGACACGACAAGGGAGCTTTGAGATCCAGGAATGAGCCTTGACTGTCCTATAGTCCCTGGGCATAAGGTCAACAGAATCTGTTCTCTGGGTATAGGAGAAGGCGCCGGGAGAACATCATGTCCTATCATACCTTTATCTCTTCAGTGGGACGAACAGCCGAGTAGGGTATCCAGGTCGAGCATACGCCTGCTCTAGCTGCATAAAAAGTAGGTAGTCCAACGTCTGTTCCCGAGCAATCTTCTGAGACCGCTCCACTCCTCCTGCTCCCATGTATGTACCTGGACGGCGGACGCTTCGAAGATAGGAAGATTTCGTACAGGACTCACGATTCCAACGGGAGGCTGTACTCGCAACTGCGCCGCGTCGGTAAAGCAAATGTTCGATCTTTCCATCGCCACTGCCCGTCCCCAGTCGCGGCTCTCTCAGTCACGGCTTCTAAGTCAACAATCCGTCTTACTCATTTCGCATGTCACCGAGAGCAAGACACTCCCTTGGATTTCCAAATGCCTTGCGTCAAAAAGTTCATCGGCGGTGCGGGGCGAAACCCAGTCCTGGGCCCTCTGATACCGGAAGTCAAGGAGGGTCACTCTTACCCGGTCGCAGGCGATCATAGAGTATCTCGAGTCTAAAAGCAAGACTTGCAGCAGCGAGATAACAATAACGGGCGACGTGCTCTGTGATGGGAGGATTCTTCAATAGACACAGGGGACGAAGTGATAGGATTTGGGGCGGCTGTGATATCGGAGGCGCTGGAGGGCGAAGATCAAGTAAGGCATTCTCTGAGCAGGACTCTCACTGATTGACGCATGCAGCAAGTCAGTGGTGGCACAGGCGAGAATTGAATGAGGGCCACTGGAAAGGGGAACTTATCTCTGTGCAGTGCCGCCTGGGTATCCTTGACGACTGCGGTGACAAGGCTGACGCTGCCGTTTAAAGTGGCTAACAGATTCCAACAAGAGCTATTGATTCAGGAAAGGGAAACAAAAAGAAAGTGTGGCTAGTGGCTGAAGTGATGGAAAGATCCGGAATTGTGGTGAATGCCACAGAGGTGTGAGAGGATTTGCGGCAGTGCACCAACACAAACACCAAACACAAGGTCTCTCTGAATCTGCCTTGTCGTTTTCTCCTTGGCTCCTCAACCACTCGCCCCCCTCCATGATTGTTGACCTCTACCCAGCAATTCTCTTTTTCTCTGCTATAGAAGAACGGTGCGCTTCCCATCCTGGCCTCCAGTCCTCCATTCAAACCGGGGTCTACATCGCTCCAGGGACTGACTACTTCCTCACCATGCAGTTGAAAGCAACCATGGCGCTCAAAGCAGCCACCGACCTTCAAAACGAAAAGCGATCGAGAGTCCTTGAGGTCATTGACAAGCTCCGCGAACTAGGTGTCAGCGAGAGCGTCTCTCTACCCCAGGTTTGAGCACCAAAGCGCCAGAGTGAAAACCCAGAGGACTAACACAGTTCAGCTTGTCGTGGTGGGAGACCAGTCCAGCGGCAAGTCATCCCTGCTTGAAGGTCTGACTGGTCTCTCTTTTCCCGTCGCCAGTGACCTCTGCACTCGTTTCGCAACCCAAATCGTCCTCCGTCGCGCACCTGAACATGATGCTGGAGCAAGGATAACAATCATACCTGGACCATCTTCCCAGTTAGACGAGTCTCTTGAAAAGAAGCTCAAGACGTTGAGAGAACGCTCGGTGCGGATCAGTTTGGCAGCGATGAATTTGTGCAAGTCTTTGATGAGGTACGCAGTTTTTGACCGTGAAGGAGGGGCAGTTACTGATTAACCCCGACAGGCTGCAGAGGCCATGGGCATACCCGGACCTAGCACCACCAACATCGAGAACATTGACAAGAGGTTTTCAGACGATATCTTGAAGATCGAACTCTCTGGCCCCGAACATCACCACCTCTCAGTAGTCGATGTTCCGGGCTTATTTCACAGTACGTCACTTCCACAAAATATTCAACTGAAAATTACTCACCCAGACAGATCCGACCAAGTATCAGACCGAGGAGGACAAGTCCATCATTCGAACGCTCATCAAGGACTACATCACTGACAAGCGGACTATTATCCTGTTTGTTGGCCCGTGGTAGGAACAAAAGATAAAGTTGAGTGGCTAACTACGAACAGTGCCGTTATGGACGCGCGAAACAACCTTGCGAACCAGGGAGTGTGAGTTCGCAATCATTTATTTGCGGATCGCCCATCTAACACATTTTAGGTTCTCAATGGCAAGAGCCGCAGATACAGCAGGACGACGCACTGTTGGAATCATCACCAAATGCGATGCCGTCGAGAAGGGCGACGAGGCCGGGGTATGTATCGACTACACCATCATAAGCATATGATTGACGCGTGATAGGTTATTCGGATTGCCAAGAATATGGTCGAAAGATTGACTCACGGCTGGTTTGCAGTGAAGAACCGCTCTACCAGAGAGATCGAAGAAGGCGTGACTATTGAAGGTCGTCACCGAAAGGAGAAGGAATTCTTCGCTGGAACTGCGCCGTGGAAGGAGCTCCGTAAAGATCGCGTTGGAATCCATTCTCTGAAGAAGTTCCTCGGTGGATTGCTTTACGACCACATTCGAAGCGAGTTCCCAAATGTTGTTAAGGACATCGAGGCCTCGCTATCCACAGCCGAGGGGGACCTTGAGCTTCTCGGTCCGTCTCGCCAGACAGCTATCGATCAGCGACGTTTCCTGAACCGCATAGCCAACATGTATCAGAAGGGGGTGGACGATGCACTCGGCGGCAACTATGATCCAGAACTCGGCGAAAAGAGTGCCTTGAAGCTTCGCATGCATGTGCAGGCTCTGAACTCCGAATTCTCCCAGGAGATGACGAAGAATGGTCATGCCAAAGCGTTCCGCACACCCGATGACAAGGAGGACCCTGAGTTTCACATAGCCCAAATAGCGTCGTCCGTGTCAGCGGTGCAACCTGCGGAAAACATCTACGACTGGATTCGCCGTATCTACCGAGACTCTCGCGGCACAGAGCTTCCGGGTACGGTGAACCCCCGGGTCCTGGAGAATCTGTTTCGTCAACAGTCTGGGCCGTGGAAGAATATTGCTCTGGCTTATATCGCCAAGGTCAATGATGCAGTCAAGGCTTATAACCAACAGGCAATCGTCAGAGTCATCCGTGACGATGAGATTAAGGGAAAACTTGCTTCTCGTCTCGCACGTTTCCAAGATGTATCGCAGACTCGAGCAACGACCGAATTCTCCCGCATTCTCGAAGATGAGAGAGGTGGCATCCTCCAGACAGTTAACCACTATTACGCGGAGACGCTCAGTGCTATCCGGGATGAGCGCCTCCGTGCTAGGTTGAAGAAGCAGATGGGCCTTCAGGAAAATGCGTCGTCCTCTTTTAATCTTAACGACGTGATGAAGACTATTCAGCTTAGCAACGAGGATCAGGCCGTCCACGACATTCATGACATTCTCAAAGCATACTACAAAGTCGCTCTCAAGCGGTTCACGGACAATGTTGTCATTCAGATAGTCGAGCGCCATATCCTCGGCCAAGGTGGACCTGTTAGAGCACTGTGCTCGGACATGATGAACGAGCTAGATGAGAGCGATCTGCTGGACCTCGCCGGCGAGAACTTCTTGACCTCCAGCTTGCGCAATGAGTTGGTCAGCAAGTGCGAACGTTTCAAGGAGGCTCTCGAGATAGCGAAACACGCAGGTGTTTGAGAAGATCACTGTTTCTTCGAAGGCTACGAGTTTGTTGAGGCTATTGTTTCTGGTGCTACTTTGGTTCCTGGTTATGCCTAGACTAGAATGGTTCATGTCTTGTACTGAAGATCCTAGATATTGTCTTTACTAGAACGACTCTGTCATGCTGTTTCGCAAGATCCTCCTGTCAGATGCTCTAGGGATTGCTGTCCCATTCGTGTTTTTTTTGTCTTGTTCTGTGTATGCTAGCTTGAGGCCCATCTTGTACTTATGTCGAATGCAGCCACCCTATAGTATCCCCGAGGGCATACTGATCAGTAGCTGCTTTTTCCTTGTCGCAGCAGTCCGCCTGAACCTGACCGAAGTTTCTCCTGTTGGCTTTATTAATCGCAACCGCACCCATTTGCTTCGCTTGAGTTTAGCTGATTATCATCACTTCCCTACATAAGTCTTCTAGGCTTCGCTATGTTCACCGCGCCTAGCCTTCGACCCTCGGCCAATCTAACTTCTACACCTCCTTAAACCTCAAATAAGATACTGCCCAGCCTGGCTACAAGCATGCTACTTATATTAGTGCGCTGAGCGGCACAAGCTCCGCCGGCGCCTTTATCATTTGTATCCTGCAGACTTGGAGCGCATGTGCATCCGGGCATAAGACGACTATCCGTCTAGGCGCGGCCATACCGGTTGACTATGGTATGATACCATGAGTTGGGGCAAATCAGCCTTAAATTCGATTTTCCACGACCTAGTCTTAATCACTGCAGTCCGTATATCAGCTTGATTCGTTTGTCTGATACACATGATAAAGAGCCTTTGCCTCCTTTGTTGACTGAAAGACGCCCCATAAAGGCCTTTGTACGATGCAGTCAATGAGACCAGGTCATCCGCTTAAACTGGATTGGAACGGTCTCACACTGGCATCTGATTCTTTGTAGTTATAAAGGCTCAATGCCTCTTTCGAACCTGATGGAGTCAGATAATACACGCATCCAAGGCATCTCCTTCTTTATCACTAGGCCATCATGTGTTGGAGCTCTTTCAGCTTAAAACGCCACCGACAGGTCCATAAGCCTAGACGAACTTGCTAATTTGCACTCATAACTGGGATATGCTTTAGGAGAGAGCCTGCTTTGTCCGGCTTTGTAGGAGACGTGCCGCGATCAAGTATAGTCAGCATCTTAAAGGTTGAGGGTACCTGTCACCTGGCCAGTGACCCTCAATCACCTCCAATTTGCTATTTTTGGAACCCTTTGCTTCGTCCGACCAAGATAGCTTTGCCTTGCCAAGTCGCTTTGTAAGTCATGTGCGAGGTTCGTTGTTGGTCTTTGCCAGCAGGGCAAGACAAAGCATTCCCTTCCCTTCACCAAACCCCAGTACCAATACTTAACTATCCTGTTATGCCGTGTGAAATCGCCTTTTTCTTTTCTTCATACTTCGCCTACCTTTCATATTGCACCGCCTCTTTCTCTGAGACATATACGCCCCTTTTCATTCTCAAACATGCCGTCTCAAAACCAGAACACCGCAGCTGCTGGATCCGCCCAAGAACACCCACGACAATTTACCTCTGAGGCGTCTGAGCCTCGTGGTGATCATGCATCTACAGCGCCAAGCCCCGTTGACAATGTGACGGACGAGGAGGATTCCGGGCTGGAGCCAGGACCTCGCCACCTCGGACTGGCCGTTGACGATTTCCTGCATGACGCGGGCGCAATGGAAGGCCCGTGGGAATACATGCCTGGCGGTCATCATCCGCTAGTGATTGGACATCGTATCGGCGCAGACAGAGAATACAAGGTGATACAGAAACTAGGGTCCGGAGGCTCGGGCAATGTTTGGCTATGTGAGTACATAGACTCCGAGCCGCAGCTATGGGTGGCTGTGAAGATTCTGAAGGCCTGCATCTCGGCCGAAGAGAGCCGTGAGCTCAAATCCGGCGGCCTCATGGCCAGCCTAGTCAAGACCGACCCTGTCCTGAAAAGCTGCTGCTCCTACCCGTGGGAGGTGTTTGGGATCCAAGGCGTAAATGGCCTCCATCTATGCTTTGTCTATCCTGTCCGCGGTGCGCCGGTGTCAGAACTGCGAGGCCACTTTGATGATCCGGATGCGTTTATGCGGAAGCTCACGCGTCAGGCGGCTAGGGTTATGGGCACCCTGCATGGGCATGATATTGTGCACGGAGGTGAGTTTCTTCTTTCTTGAACTAATTGCGGGACTTCTGTACTGACTAGAATGTAGATTTCCGGCCGTTGAATGTTCTTCTCCAGCTGGGTGGCCTGAATGGCAAGACCAGGGAGGAAATCGTGGACATCTTTGGACACCCCGCGGGAGCAAAGGTCATCAAGTACCCGGACGCCCACCCCGCCGCGAATCCCCCGGAGTATTTATACTACCCTGTCAACCCGCACGCGGCAGACGACTTACGTACCCACACCATCTGTGTGATCGACTTTGGCGAGTCCTTCATTGAGGGAAACCCGCCGCCCCACGGGTCTGGGATCCCCTGCCCGTATGCCGCCCCGGAGGTTCCGCTAGACAGTTTTGCGAGCAAGAGAAGTGACATCTGGGCATTGGCAGCGACAATGTACGAGATTCGGTGCGGCCATAAACTGTTTCTGTTCGAGGGCGACGGCAAGGAAGCTTACCTTCACGGCCTCGTCAGGGGGTGCGGGAAGCTGCCGGCAAAGTGGTGGCCTCAATGGAGGGAGACGTGGAACGAGTCGGTCAAAAGATGGCACCCGCGGATCTTCGGTGGGCCTGAGAGCGAGGATCAGATCGAGGATGAACAGATCGCTCGACGTCGCCATATCCAGCAGGCCGTTGCCAGGCCGGTCGGCCACATGCTGACCTCAGACGCGTCCGTTCGCAGGCACGAAGAGTCGGACGTTTGGATCTCCATGGGCCACCATGAGCCGCTCTCCAGCGAAGAGCAGGAGCTTTTCGCTGACCTCCTATATAGGATGACCGAGATGGACCCGCAGAAACGTATGACCATCGAGGAGGTCCTTGAACATCCATGGCTTTCGTATGGACACACGGAGCAGCCGCAGCAACGGCTGGAGGAGCGCCCCTCGACGCCCGAGGAGTCCGACCTGGAGGACCTGGAGGACCTGGAGGAGCGGTCTTGGACATCCGAAGAGTCCGACCAGGACGACCAGGAGGACCGAGAGCAGTATCAGCCTGACGCCACACTTGGAACCAAGACAGAGGGATCCTCTACTACCGACAAGTGCAATGGGGGTTCAGGCATCTCCCTCCGGATCCCCAAAGCAGGCAAGCCGACCGCCGCCGCCACCTCGCCCTGTCCAACTAGGCAGGACAAGCCCATCTACCTCTCCACCGCGCTGTCCCCTGTCTCCGAGGCAAACGAACCGCATGACTCTGCGGCAGACGACGACATCCCCTCCGTCAAGGCCGTCAGCCCCTCCACTCAGCTGCAAACTGAGGCTCTAGCTCCTACCGACCTGGTTGATGTCCCGCTGGCTGGCAACGGGCTGCCTCGAGTGAAGTCGTGGCGGAATCATAGGCGGTCCAAAATGGTTGCGGTTTTCCAGGCGCTTAGCCAGGCTTTTCGTGCTGCTTTTGCATAGGCGGAGTTTATCTTTTCTTGAGCATTTCATTTCTCGGTTTCATGTCATCTATTTCCTCAGTTGGGTAAAGCCTGGGGTAGATTTCTACTGCATACAGCGTCAATTTAATTTGCTTTGATCTTTCATTTCTTCCCTCCTAGGGGTAGCGTAGGTTTTACTAGAGAAACGTTGCAGGCGTAGTACAGTAGGCATCTGAGCAATCACAGGCCTCACTCATCGTGCTTTCTTTTGAATTCGATTCCATATCATTCCTTTACCACGATAATCCACGTCTCGTACTCGATATGCTGGAACGCATGTCTTGCCCACCTGGAACGGCTACGGCACTACGCTGCGGCCTATAATGTCCTCGCGCAATCGATTGACTCGCAGGAAGTACGGAGTACTGGTTCGTTATCGGCAAATTCTGTGGATGGGCGGACGAGATGGTATACAAAACGCACTGCCCTTGACGGGGATGGAAGAGAGGTAGGGTCAGGGCACCGGTACCTCGCCGGTACAAAACACCACCAGGGGAATCGCAAGGTTATTCGCAACCGACCTTCCAATCCAATCAACGTAAACTTGAGCATACGCAATGAAAATACACGGACCTCATCACAACCGTCCAAGCTCAATGCAATCCCAGCCCCAACCCCAGCCTCAAAACAAACTACCATACCTCCACCGCAACCATATGCAAAACCCCATACGCCTGAACCCCGCTAAGGGATCCAACATCGCTGTACTGGTTCCATGATATCTCGAGGCAAACAATCGCTATATCGCAGGGCAAACGGGTTAGGAGGTAGATAATAATGAAGGCTTTCAAGGCACAGTACGCGGCAAGGGGGATGAGGAAGCCGGCGAGACGGAGTGGAATTTGGATTCCTAGCCATAGTGGCGTGCGCATTGTTATTGCCATCGTCCTTCTCATGTTCGTTCCTTTCGCCAAACTAAGCAGAGGTAAGGCACGGAGCTGGACTTCCTGGTCCCAATGAATGTGCCTCGTAGCTAAGATGATGACCCGGTAGTAGCAGCATTGGGGTTGTCCACCGCAGAATAGGAATCACCGATATGCTTCTTTGCCGTCCAGATCCGCGATCGCGTTGTTGCTGTTCGTCCGCTTGGGAATGACTTGGCTCAGGGGGGCGTTTTCTCGTGCGCGATGTACCAATCCGCCTCGAGTCGTATACTCGCCGACCTGATGCAGGCTGGGTGTGCGGCTCGGCTGTCTCGAACTCGATATACTGCTTTGTATATGTGACAAGGTGACATACAGTAGTGATTGGCAGACATTCAAGGGGCTGCTGATCCTCAAACGAACAACCGTTGTTCTTGAAGCACGAGGTGTTCGAACCGGATACAGAAATTTGGCATCGGCCTTGACACTGAATATGGCGAACATGCATGATTCTTTCAGGAAAAGGGACTCTTATGGCTTGATAGAATGGCCATATTGATTATTTGGTGGTACAAAATCTGCGAACGTCCTTGAGGAATACGCGAAGTACAAAGATGAATATAATGCTCCCTCTCATTTTACAGATATATCAGTACTCGGCGAATACCGACCTTATTGTAAATATTCCAAAAGTATCAAATTGAAAGGAGAAGATCAGGGTGCAATCAGCCTGAAGCGTACATGGGCCATCAAGTAAGTACCTATATTGGGACCATTGTCGCAGTGTTTCAAGCGATCAAAGCTTTGAGAAACTTGGTTATCCAATCACACAAGGTAAACCCATGATAGAAGTCTATTTGTATCCATTGGTGCGACATTGTTTGTTTGTTTGAGAGGACTGATAAAGAACTGGCTCTTTCATCCCTGCTCGACCTCTAACGCACCAATCAATGCCCCCATCCTTAGCCATCTCAAGCCCGACCTCTTATAGAAAACTAATACAGCCAACGACTCGAATTGCATCATTCGACAAATTGATTCTCTCCGCCTAGAGCAAAAACCACATACCCATTCTCACTCCGAAGTAGGAAATATGGTCCCTTGGATCGGCGAACTTCCACCCGAGCAGGCCTCCACAGCTGCTGGACCAAGCCATGAGCCTTCTCGACATCCTCCCCAGCACTCTCCTCAGTCTACTGATGGCAACCCTAATACCGCGTCCTTTCTATCCACCAGATCCACCCGTTCTTCAACCGGCGAGCCACTCCATCTAGGCCCCTGCCAGAACGGCCTAGCCCTCAACGCCATCCTAGGCCGATACACCGAGTGGCCATGGGAGTATCTCCCGGGCGGGCACCACCCCGTACATCTAGGCGACCTTCTCGGCCCGAACCAGGACTTCAAGGTAATCCACAAGCTGGGCGCCGGCGGGTACGGGAATGTCTGGCTGTGCCGCTTGCTGGGTATGGAGGAGCCCATGTACGTGGCCATCAAGATCCTGAAGGCTGAAGTCTCTGGGGAATATTGCAGGGAGCTAGACAGCGCGCTCATGCTCATGGAGAAAATGAAGCAGGATCCCGAACTTGAGGATTGGTGCTTGGTTCCGTTTGATGTGTTTACGCTCACGGGGCCGAACGGGACGCACCAGTGTTTTGCGTATGAGGTTGCCGCGTCGGGGATCGATGATATTGCAAGGGGGGTTGATGATGTCGATGGCTTTTTAAGGGGGCTGGCGAGGCAGACGGCGGAGGCTATGGACGTGCTGCATCGGAATGGTATTGTGCATGGAGGTGAGTTCTTGCCAGCGAGTAGGGTACCATTTGGATTCTTCAAGGTGCTAACGGTATCTAGACTTCCGCCCCTCGAATATCCTCTTCCGCCTGACCGGGCTAAATGGAATGCCAGAAGACGAGGTCATGGACCTCCTGGGCGAGCCCAACGGCGCAGAAGTAATCGTATACGAAGACGCCGACCCAAACGCCCATCCCCCACGGTACATTCTCAATCCGGTCGACTTCGACTCCAACATCCTAGCCAAGCTAGGCACGACTCGGATCTACATCGCCGACTTCGGAGAGTCGTTCGTCGCAGGGGAGCCGCCGGCCCACGGCTCAGGCATCCCATACCGCTACGCAGCGCCCGAGGTAGCCCTGGACGACTGGGCGAGCAAAGAAACCGACATCTTCGCGCTGGCCGCGACCATGTACGAGATCCGCTTTGGGAGGAAGCTGTTCACCATGCCGGCGGACTCGCTCGATGCCTACGTCCACTACCTCGTGCGATACTGCGGCAGGTTGCCGGAGATTTGGTGGCGCAAGTGGAAAGGGGTATGGAGGGAGGTGACGCACCAAGCGGACGAGGAGACGCTCGAGGGCGAAGAGACGGTGAGACGGTGGCATATTCGCAAGGCTGTCTGTGCGAAGGTTGGCCATCGCATCACGACGCTTCATGATTGGGATGATCTTGCTAGCATGCACTCGGATGGTCCGTTTGTGCGCCCTGAGTGGCATGGGGCTATCCCGTCCAAGGAGAAGGTTCTCTTTGCGGATTTGCTATATCGTATGACGGCGTTGCATCCCAGAGAGCGGTATACGATTCAGCAGGTCCTGGGGCATCCCTGGTTTCGGTATAGAGTTGATCAGGCGTACGTTCCGCGTCGGGCTGAGAGGTTGCAGGTTGATGAGAATAAGCCCCGACTTGGGTCAGTTCGTGGCCATGTGCCTGCTAAGCACGCTATTCAGCCTCAAAACATTGATGAAAGTGAAGCTCAACAGGATGTGGTAGATGGGAACGTGCCCGACAAGGCTGATCTGTCCCCGGCGCAACCGAATGAAGTCAAGACATTGCCATCTGACGATGACGACGCGATGATCATCGCAGAGCCTCAGCCCATCGTGGAAACACCTATAGCAGAGCTATCACAATCAAGGGAGCACACAGGATCTCAAACCGTCACTCTTGAAGTCCCGACACCACGCCCCAGGCCGAGAGCAGGCTCGCCATATCCCGCCGCCATCATCGCACGGCTGTCAACCGAGGGCAATGCGTCCTTCTTTGCCTCCAGCGTGCACTCCCTCGTGGTTGAGGCAAACGAGTCATACCACACCACGGAGTCAGAGCGAGAGCTCGACGACCTGGACTCCGTCCGGGGTGTCAAGTCCATCCCTAGCCCCAGGTGGCCGCTGCTTGACGAGCGCAGGGGGTTTTACATGGCTTATGGCGAGTTGGCTGATGGCGAGTTGCCTCTTATGAGCGGTGGCTTAGGGCTGGATCCGGCGGAGAAAGGGAGGAGGAGGAGGAAGAAGCATGGGAGGCGCTCCAGGGTGGGTTCGGTCTTTCGGTCGGTTGGTCGCGCTTTGCGTTCTGTTTTCACTTAGTCGTTGCATTTATTTTTGCATACTCTTTAGCGTCTATTAGTCCTTTGGTGATGCGGTGTATTGGCCCAAATGTCTATTGATCTCTTGCTTGATCTCTCATCTCGTTGTATTTGTAACGTAGTCCCTGCCGTCTTTGAAGTCTCGGGACTGAATATATATATCTGTCGTCGATAGACGACCCGTAGAGGAGGACCAAGAACAATGCTTGCCATAACACCCATGATCAAATCTTCATTACCCTCTCTAACAGTGCAGCTTTTGAATTGTCGACCAAGATATAAAACCGGCAATGCTTGAGGTCGTTAGGGCTGTGATCTGGCTGTGGACACCTGAGGCCGAGGCCAGCATCACGTGGTCGTCGGCGATCAACAACCAGGACAGCAGCATCCTTCCAACAATCTCATCGCCGCTGCTGCCGGCATCACTCTTTTCATCAATCGGAATGGAGTCTCCGCTGATAGAATCCAGTCTAACGGCCGGGGCCGAAGACGACCTCGAGCACGCGGTCCTCCTCCCCCGCAGCACCTCAGGAGCTCCAGCCGCAGACGAACGCGAGGGGCGCCAACGCCGCCATCTCGGACTCCTGTCAACGACATTCCTAATGTACTCATAAACTCTCAGCTCATCTAAACGCAAACTGACAGACTCTCCAGAACAAACCGCATGATCGGCACGGCCATCTTCTCCACGCCCTCCGCCATCGCAGCTAGTGTCGGCAGCGCAGGCGCAGCATTGGCCCTCTGGGTCGTCGGGCTGCTGCTCGCGTACTGCGGCATGTTCATCTGGATCGAGCTCGGCTCTCTTATGCCCAGGAGTGGCGGCGAGAAGGTTTATCTGGAAGCGGCGTACCCGAGGCCCGCGATGCTGGTGACGACGGTGTTTGCGGTGCATGTGATCTTTCTGGGGTTTACTGGTGAGGATCCCTGCATTTTTTTTCTAACATATGGTAGCCTGATGGCAAACCAGGTATTGGGGGTGTCGTTGTAGCGGAGAATATCCTGCTCGCTCTTAACGGGTCAGCGAATGACTGGGTCAAGCGCGCGCTGGCCATCGCCGTCCTTGCGGCTATTGCGACGATACATATCAGGTTCAGTGCGATGGGGGTGAAGATTATGGTGAGCCAAGCGCCCGGATGCGAAAGCTGGGCTAACGAGTCCAGAACGTCCTGGCCTCCGTCAAGATCATCATCCTCTGTCTCATCATTCTTTCCGGCCTGCGCGCCCTCCGGGGCGACCTTCCTCAAATCCCAGACCCGGCAAGCAGCCTGAAGGACCCATTCGGCGGCTCTTCGTCCTCGGTGTCCGACTACACCAACGCCCTTTTTAAGATCCTAGCTACGTACCAAGGCTGGTCGAACGCCGCGTACGTCCTCGACGAAGTGCAGAACCCGCGCAAAGTCCTCAAAATCGCCGGTCTCGTTGGCGTCGGGAGCGTCGGGCTTCTGTACATCCTAACCAATATCTCCTACTTCATCGTCGCAACGCCGGAAGAAATCAGCAAGACGGGCGTCACCGTCGTCGCGCTGCTAATCGGCAAAGTCTTCGGCGAGACCATGCTCTGGCTGACCGCCATCCTGGCGGCGTTATCATCGTTCGGGAACCTCATGACAGCGTCGTTTACGATGTCGCGCGTCGTCCGGGAATTCGCGAAGGAGGGCATACTACCGTGTTCTCGCTTCTTTGTAGCAACCACGCCCTCGGGCTCCCCGTCCGCTGCGTTCCTGCTCGTCTTCCTTTCCTCGACGCTCATGATCCTCTTCATCCCGTTCGGTCAGTATACCCGTCCACCCGCATCTTAATGTTGTAAACCCTCCCGTACTGACATCGTCCGCCGTAGGCGAGGTCTACAACTTCCTCCTCGACGTAGGCCAATACGCAATCGCAATAATCAACATCCTCGTCGTACTCGGCCTCTTCGCGATTCGCCGCCGCGAGCATTCAGCTCGCCAGCGCATGCGCACATTCCGCGCCTGGACGCCCGTCGCATCTCTCTTCTTCCTCTCGCAGATCTTCCTGCTCGTCACGCCGTTTGTGCCGTCGGCGGTAGATGTGGGCAAGGCGTTGCCGTCCTGGCTTTATGCCCTCGTCGCACTCCTTGTGTTTCTCGGCGCTGGAGTCTACTGGTTCGTCGAGTGGGAAGTCCTTCCCAGGCGCGGTGGGTTTGTATGGACTGCGCGGGAGTCTGTTTCGGCTGATGGTGAGGATGTCGTGGTTTGGGATAAGGTCAAGTTAAATTGAGCACTGCGTCTGAATGTCCAATGCAGGTTCTCGATGCGTCTCCTCTAGTAGAGCGCGTCTGACGCAACGGACCTGGTGAGGAGATCCGACCGTTGCAAATGCAGGCCTCTGCAGTCGAGCAATAATAATGCACGGTATGACGGGCCTGCAGCGCGAATGCAGTAAAAATACCCGAGCCACTTTAGACCGGTGTACCCTGCAACGAATCGAAGTTCAGTGACGCAATGCCATGGAATGCGTACGATGCATGCAGCAGTTTGCATATTGGACGTGCTCTGCATGCGAGCTTTGATGGGTCGTCTCGAGTGCATGAGTCCAGCAATGTATCATAACCACTACGTCCTGCAGGATTGACTTGCAGTCAAACCACTGACCTGTATATATATGTCCCTTTATCCATAATTGCGGTGACTGGGTACAGTGAGTGGCTATAAGGACACGGCTGTCCCTTCCAACGTCCTCTGTACAAGCCAGCGAGTTGACAGCCTGGGATTGGCATTTCCAGGTTCCCTAGGTTCCCTGCATCGTGGTGTCATACTCTGGCCTGCAGTATGGGACTTTGGTGCACCTGGAATGGCCGGGCGGGGTGCAGTGCAGTTCGTTATGCAGCATTGACTGGGTTCAAGGTTCTTGCTTCTCTCTCTTTTTTGGTCGGCGTAACGGAGCCCCGAAAGCAAGCCTACCTCGAGAGCTTGGTTCCATTGTAATGAACTCTTTAGCAAGCCAATGTCACGGTCTTTGTCGGGATCTATTGAACGGGGAGAAACCATACTTGGAGGCAAATGACTGGCAAGGACTTGCGTATCTAAATATCGTATCGTGACCCCATTTTATTTTGCTTGCGAACCGGAGTACAATCTGCCCCTCATCTCCAACTCTGCGGCAAATCCGCCCTCCCCGATTCCTCCCACGTCACATCCCTCCTGACCCTAATGCTATGCAGCGGAACCTCATCCCCATACTCAGACTGCGACACATCCATATGCACATCGTTCTTCGCCAGAATCTCATCGGTCGGTCGGAACGCAGGCGAATGCGAGGTCCGCTGTCTGTTTCCGCTCGCGCCCGTACCTTTAGGCGTGCCCTTCGAGGTCCTCGTTGTAGGTGTCCGCCGCGATCCGTCGCGGCTCGCGAATTTGGATGAGACCATCATGACCAGCGGGCGGAGGGTCGGCATGCAGCCGGAGACAATCCCGATCGCGCATTCGATGACGGACCAGGTGCAGGAGCTGCCGATTGTGCCGGAGGTGTTTTCGATGTCGAATACGAAGAGGGTTGTGAAGCGGTAGATGCTGCAGAAGCAGACGCTGTAGGCATTCGGATGAACGTTAGCTTCGAATCTCCATTTTGCACAGGCGCAAGGCGCCATTCAGACCGAAGTAGGGTTGGGGACAGAATTATGCCGGGGCAACGCACAAGCTCCCAAGCATAAAAAGCGCAATCACCGACAGTCTGTGGGCTAGCGGAGCCTGCAGCTTCCATACCACTCGGACCGGGAGAGACAATATCATGATGTCGGTGACTATATTCGGGACGGCGTTTCCAATGAACATGCCCTTGAGGTAAATGCATGTGCCGGGTAGCGACGGATTCCAGACCTTCGCGATGGGAGTGCATTGAAAGATGCTCACGCAGACGATTGCAATTGCCCATGCGATGGCGATACCTCCCAGAACATAGGCAGAAATGCGAAAGCCTCGAGTTGGAAAGAGTCGTGAGTATAAAAGTAGGATGGCGATCTTGATCATGCCGATGGTTACGCTGTAGGTGCATTCGAAGGTCATCAATAGCTGCACTTCTCGTTAGTAGAGGCCGGGGTCCATTGATCAATTCTGCACGTTTACCTTTGCGATCATGACCAGATTGTGTGCTGGTTGAGTCTGAGCATGTAGTCCCATTCCAAAATGGACCACTGGCGACAAGCCGTCAGCGACTGAATGCTCAATCCGCGAGGCGCGATCTTACTTGTGAGATGGATCGCAGCATCCGCAAATAACAACATCTGGAATCCGCGTTTCTAATAAGCGACTGTTCTTTTTGTTTTCGCAGAGTCCGTCACGATCATACCAGAGAGACAAGAATCGCGTAGTCATCAATGCCGATGCTGACGCCCTTTTTCCACCGGGCCATGAAGCGCAACGCGACGAAGACAGCAGCTATGACCGTCACCGAGATGCATCCGGCCCGGTACTCGCCCTGCTTGGAAGCGTAGATGTCGGACGGCATTGTGTCCACCGCTTGGGCCACGAGTCCTGACGATCGGAGAGAATGCAACACGGGTTACACGGCGGGAACGCTTGGAGGAACCATTGAAACAGACTACTGCCGGGAAGATAAAGGGGCCATATTCTAAAGTAATGCATCAGGCCATGTGTTGGCCCGTAAGTAAGCAATCATCCTTAGATCATTGTGAGTATGTGGCTAACGAGGCAGCCAGAATCGACTCGATCGAGGCCGCCACCACCATGCACGACTGGACACTCGTTGCCCTCGCGTGATGAGCTGAGTTGACAGGTAATTTTGATCTGAAGATATCACAGATCTTTGTCCAATTGAAATGCAGCAGGATGAAACGAGAAAGTGCTCCGCGCGCCGTTCTGCGGGGCGGGGCCTGTGGGATGCATGGGCATGCGGCGGCGGCATTAGCTCGGGTAAATGATTTGATCGTTCGACACCGATTTCACCAGCCACGGCTCTTTAGGGGATAGCCCAACGTCTGACAGCTGTCATATTGGCTGGTGTGGATCTATCATCCGGGACTCGGAACACCCGGGCGATTACGCGGGCCAATTCGAGGAGGGAGGGGAATACGCCTAGACCATTTCCATGAACAAAGAAGATTAGAAGATTGGAGTAGCGTCGCATTCACTGGGCTCGTCTGTCAAAAGGGGCCAAACTTTGTCCGCGCAGTTGATGTCTCAATTCCTCCCTCTCGTCCTCTTCTGATACATCGAAACCTCGAAATCCTCGGAACCCGCGATCGCATCTCGAAACAACATGGAAAAACCAATCTTTGCCTTCGTTCCTGGTGCTTGGCACACCGTCGAGACCTTTGATTGCCTCCGTAGCCTCATGGCAGAGCAGGGGCTCGAGTCGATAGCCATTTCCACCCCATCTGTTGGCGCATCTCCGCCAGTGAAAGGCCTTCATGCAGATGTTATTCACACCAAGGCCGTGCTGCAAGAACTGGTCGACAACGGTCGGCAAGTGGTGGTCGTCATGCATTCTTACGGCGGAGCGGTCGGCGGGAGCGCCATTGAAGGGTTGGGGTATGCGCAACGAGCAAAGGCTGGTCGGCGAGGAGGTGTTATCATGGCCGTGTGGATGGCGGCCTTTGTAGTGTGCAAGGAGCAAACCGTTCTTGATCTTCTGGGCGGCAGCTGGGAGCCCTGGATGCGCTTCAAGAACGACGACGGCTACGTCCATACCTCGGACGAATCGAACGTGTTCTACGGCGACGTAACGCCGGAAGAACAGCAAAAGCAGATTTCCTTGCTCAAGCCTCAACCTCAACTGTCCTTCAAGGAGCCGGCGTTGTATGAACCTTGGCGCGAAATCCCGTCGATGTATCTATTTTGCGAAAAGGACCAGGCGCTCCCGCTAGTTGCCCAAGAGGCATTTGCGAAAATTCTAGGCCAGGGCCCCTCTGTGACTTACCACACCGATGCGTCCCATTCACCGTTCCTGAGCCAGCCCGAAAAGGTGATTGAGGGGCTCAGGCTGGCGCTGCAGGTCGGACGAGAGCAGAGCGGGATCAGGGCAATGGCCTCGCTGTGAGTGGTTTGTTTCCATGGATTGTGCGATTCCCAAGGTCGATGCAGATCATTAAGTATGATGCGAGAACGAAGATGGACGGACGATGGGGCGGCGATGAGACGGGTTCAATCACATGAACGATCGAGGGGTATATCTCGGCGAGGATTGGAGGAACCATGATGCCTGTTTGCATTTGATTGCTTGAAATGAGGGAAATGCGCCTAATAAACCGGATGACTTTCTTAGCGCGACCAAGTGAATTAGATAACTTTTTAATAAAAATGGCCTAAAGGAGTTTAGCGCCGTGTTTTAGCTAGTAATTATAAATTTATAAAAAAGCTTATTAGCTAATAAAATACTGCTATAGCTAATATTACCTTTTTTATTACTAAGGCCTTTACCCCTAAAATCTTTTAATATTTATAAAGTTAGTAAAATAAAAAACTTTACTTTTAAACTTTTTTATTAATTTTATATATATTACTTTAATTTTATTATAGTGTACTTTTTTAACACCTAGTATTTAAAAATAATTATTTTTAATATAAATATTACTTAAATTACCTTATAATAACATGCTTAAAACTATAAGTATTTTTTTAATATTTTTAAGGCAAGTAAAAATATTTAAAATATTAAATATTATTATTATAAAGTAAAAAAGTAAAAATACTAGGTTTAAATTTAATAAACTATAGTAAAAAGGCTATTAAAAAAAGCTTTTTTTTATTTAATAATATTTAAATTATTTATATAACCCTTATAAAAAACCTTAAAAAAGCACTATTTTAATAAAATAACTAATTTTTTTTTAAATTAAGTAGGTAATAAATAGTATAATAACCTTTATAAAAATACTTTAAAAAGTAAAAAAATTAACTTATAGTTATAAACTTATAGTACACTATAGTTATAAAATTTAAAATAAAATTAATAATATAATTAATAATAATAAAGTTATTTTATTTAAATAAATCCCTACCTAGCTATCCTACTTAATAAATAAGGATTTTAATAAGTAATAGTATTATAAAATATATTTTAATATATTTATTTATTATTTTATTATACCAAGCGCCTTTATATAAAAATTTAAATATTATTAAAAATTTATAATATTAAAAATAACTTTTTAAAAAATTTTATAAAATATATAGTTACTTATGGCCGGCTTACTTAATAAAAAAAATTATATATTTTTTATAATAATTATAGTTATTTCTAGTAAGTTAAAAAACTACTAAAAATACTTTATTTATTATTTAAAAAGGCTATATAAAAATAACTTAAGTATACCTTTAATTATAGTTATTTCTAACTATATAAAAGGCTTTTAAAAAGTATTAAAAGGTAAATTAATAAATATAACACGCCTTTAATATATATAATATTTTTATAAAAATATAAGGTAATATTATAGCAGGCACCTAAATAAAATAATAAGGCACCTTTTTTTTTAATATATAAAGGCTTGCTTTAAAAATAAGTTTAAAATTTTAAAAAATTTTATTAAAATATAAAATAATAAAGTATATTAATATATTTATAATAACTTATTTATTAAGCACTAAGTTTACTATACTATCCCTATATTAAAATATAATTATATAATTTTAAATATTATAAAATTCCTAAACTTTTTATAAATTTATTATTATAAGCTACTTATGCTTAAGGCTATATAACTTATATAAAAAAAGTTTATATTAACCTTTTATTAGTACCGCGGGGCCAAGTTTAAATTAATTATATTTATTAATTTTATTATAAATTTTTTTAAAAAAATAAATAAGTAGGCAAGAAAATTATTTATTATTATATTAAGTAATACCCTTATAAAAATTAAATATAATAAATATAAATATTTAATTAATTTTACTACGCGAACCTATAATTATATAAGGTAATAAAATACCTAGTTTTTTTATAGCTATATACTAGCTACTATATATAAAATAAAAAAAATTAAAATAACTTTATTTTTAATTATTATTATATTTAAAACTATAAAAATACTTATACTAGTATTTTAAAGCCTATTTTTAGTAGCTATATAATTAGAAATTTTAAGTATAAAGTGTTTTTATATTTAATATACCATAGGTAGCTTAAAATAAAATAAATTTAAAAATATTAAAGTTATTAAAAGTATTAAAAAAATTAATTTACTACCGCCCGGCGCGGGATAATAAAAAGTATTTATTATAATAAATATTATAAATTTAATTATACATGGTATAGTTAGGGTTACCCTTTATTTAAATTTAATTAATATATTATTATTTTAAAGGCTAGCGGGTATATAAAAACTTTTTATAATTTTTAATATATTACCCCTTTATTATAAACTCCTACGCCTTTTTTATTTTAAATTCCTATTTTTTACCTTTTTTACCTTAAATTCTTACTTTTATACCTTTTCTACCTCCGGAGTTAATACTAAGTTCTTTTTTAAGCTTTTTATATAAACTAAAACCTTTTTAAGTCCCCCCTAAATTTATAAAGTTAAATCTCCCACTACTTACTAATAAGAAACTAAAAAAAATAATAAAAAAAAATGTAAAAAAAAATAATATAAAAAATTAATAGCTACTTAGCTAATAATATTAAGGCTAAATATTAAAAAATTACTAAAAAATTCCTAGAAAAAATATTACTAAATATAAAAAATTATTTTTATTTTATAAAAGTTTTATATAAAAAAATACTTAGGCTAAAGTATTAAAGCTTTATAAAATTATATTAAAATATATTATATAATAAAAATATTATAATAGCCTTTAATATTAAGTTTATATATTAATATTATTACCTATTTAATATTTATAAGAATCCCTGGGATTAAAAAATAAATATTAAAAAGTTTATAAATTATTATTATTTTAGTTACCTTTATTATAATATTAGTTTTAAATAGCCTTAATTTAATTATATTAAAAAAAAACTAGTAGGTATATAAGGCCTTTATTATAGCTTTTATTATAATTATTATAATTTATACTTTAAATAGCTTTAATTTAGCTATATTAAAAAATATTAATAAGTATATAAGGCCTTTATAAGCACGCGGTATATATATAAAATTATTTATTTTAAATAATTACCCTTTTTTAAATTAATTAATAAGATTCCTGTATTTTATTAATATAAATATAACTTTTAAATATTTAAAATAACTTTAAAATGCTTAGTTTAGTTAGGATTATAAAAAATTAATTTTATTAAATAAAGATATTATTTTATTTAGCCAAGGTTAAGCCTTAAAAAATAATTTTACTAGTAAATTACTAGGTAAGTTATATAACAGGGCTAAAACAGGGCTTTATTAAAAAGTTATCTTGTTTACTTGGTCACGCTAAGAAAGTCATCCGGTTCATTAGGCGGAGGGAAATGTCACCCCACCAAGCGTAGATACCACTGCCGTCAGCTTGAATCAAGTGTTTTCTGTCAGGGCCGACATTGATCCGGGTCACGCCATTAAGTAATGCCTGAGGCACCTAGGTCACGCTACCATAAAGTGTTAATATTACCCGTGCGGGATATTTTAAGCACTTATTTAATTTAATAAACCTTATTATTATAAATTATTATACAAAACTTAATATAATATTAAATTTAATATAATATTAAGTTTAATATAATATTAGCTTTAATTAAAAACTTTAGCTTAAAAACCTTAGGTTTTAAGTATTATTTAAGTAATAAAATAAAGGCATGCCTTGTACTAAATTACCTTAATAATTAAAAAGTAATTATAAAAAGTATAAATATAAAAATATTTAAATACTACTTATTTTTTAAATAAAAATAGCTTAAAAAATTATTTAAAGGCCTTAGGCCTTTAAGTAAGGCTTATATAAAAAAATTAAAGGCTATAATATATTTAATTTTTTAAGTAATTTTTTTAATTAAATTTATTAAGATTTTAAATACTTTATTTTTATTAATTAAAAATACTTTATTAAGTTTTATTATTATTAATAAAAAATATTTAGGTGCTAGGGCGCTTTTATAATTAAAATTATTTTTTTATTAATTTTTAAATATTATTAACATGGTATTTTAAATTAAATTTTTAAATAAATAAAGGTAAACTAGAGCTATTTTAATTAAGGTTTTTAAAATATAAATATAGGTATAAAAAAGCTTAAAATTATTATTTTTACTTAAACTTATATTATTAATATATAATAACACCCTTGTTATTAAGGTTAATAACTTAAACTATAAATTAAATAACTTATTCCCTTTAGTAAGTAAGGCTTAAAAAAATTTTTTACTACCTTACCTTTTTAAAAATTTTATATAATATATTAACCCTAAATATATTATAATAAGTATTATTTTAATTAAAAATATTATTTTAAAAATACCTATAGCTAGGCTATTTATTATAATACTATAATAAAATATATTATTAAAACTAAAGATTAATAAAGGTAAGTAAATAGCTTAATAAATTAAAGGGTATTAATAACTAAATAAGCCACCTTTACCTACTAAAAATTTTAAAAAGTTATTTAACTTATTAAGCTTAAATAATAATAATATTATTATAAATAAAATACTACCTAACTAAAATTAAGCGCATAAATAATTTTAAATATTTACTAAAAATAAGGTTATTAAGATATTAATATAATAATTATTATAAAGTAAGCTTAAGCTAAAAAAACTAAAGCCCTTAAATATTAAGATTTTTAATAATAAGAACTTAATAAAACTAAAAATATTTTTTAATAATTTTAGGAATATATTTAATAAAGCCCCTGTATAGTATAACACTAAAATAAGTAAAGTTATTTACTTAATAAATAAAGTTAAAAAAAATATATAATATAAATAGTATATAAAATAAAAAAAGCTTACTAAGCTACTTACATGGGTAATATTTAAAAAGTTTATATATTAATAAGTTAACCTAAAAAAGAATTAAACTAGTTAAAAAATAAAGTGTTTTATAAATAATTAATAAAATAGTTAATTACTAAAGGTATAATTAATAAAATTTTAGAAAATAA